TTGTTCTTCATTGTTATGTTTGTTTGGGCTGTTTGTAAATGCTCTAGGGAAATGAAAAACTCTGTATGAATTAAGATGAGTTGATTGGACTCAGGGAATTGTAGCTGAGTTTCTTCCCCTTTCTCTGAAATATAAATAAAAATATCTTCTGAACACACACCCTTATCTGCCTAACATGTTCCATGCCACTGGATTCCCAGCATCCTCTTGGATGCCCATTTGCCTCTGAACCTTTGTAGCTTAAACTTTAGCACCAGTATAATGCTAGGACAGGAACTGTTAAAATCTTATGGAATAGTTCCTACAAATGAGGGTTTTATTCAGTGAAATAAACACTCACTTACAAACATCTGTTTTAGCATAAATTCTAACTACTTAATCTAACCATCTGTAATTTCAATGACTTTCCAAGATTTTTGTTTTCAGAGCGTGAGGAGCAGGAGGAAAAGGAAGGGCGAGGGAGGCTGGTAGGTGTGTCTCCGGCAGGGCTCTCCTTCCTGGCATCTTCTCAGGTGGGAAGCACACCTGCGCATGCTGCCGCCACAGGGCGGCGGGGGCAGGGGGGCGGTGGCAGGCTGGTGGGCAAGCACTCAGCTTCTTTCCCTGATGCCCTTCAGTTCAGCCACTGCCTCTCCGTGCCCTCAGCCCGGCCCCTCCCAGCAAGCTCCACCTGGAACTCGGTCAGCCCAACTGTGAAGCTGGCACACAAGTCGGGAGAAAAGGAACTAGGAGAGAAGAAAATGCCAAACAAAGAGGGACCCTCAAGTGTGGGAGAGAAAAAGGAACAGAAAGAGAAAGAAAGGAGGCTATGGGGCAGAGGAAGATGGAAAGGAGAGCATGAGGGAAGGAGATGAGAGGAGGAAAAGGGAGAGGTTGGAACCGAGAGGGCGAGAGAAAGGGAGAGGAGAAAGGGAGGCAGACGAGAGCAAGGAAGGCACGGAAAGACAGGGAAGGGGAGTCGGCCCTCGGAAGGCCAGACGTGGGAGCTGGTGGCAGCCTGTGTGCAGGCTGGATGCGGAGAGAAAATCCGGCTGGGCTCCCGCACTGATTGTGGCCGCTGCGCCCCAGCCCGCAGAAGAGCAGGACTGCTCGTGCCGGGGGTTCCGGCCTGCAAGGAAGAGGCCTTGAGGAAGATGGGCCGCTGTCTGAAGCCCTGAGCTTCCTTTCCACATTCTTCGGGAGGAGTTTCTACACCCTTCCCTCCGCGCCACGAGGCCACAGAGACCAGGGCTGGACGCTTCTCGGTCACCGAGAAGCAGCCTCGGAGCCCCAGCGCCCCTGTGCCTTGGTTCCTGGGCATGTGGAAAAGGAGTGCATGGCCACTTGTATCTGTTATTAGGACACCCCGAGGTGGAAACTGAGGTCAGGGTGGGGTGACTTCCTGGGAAGTGCTGCAGTTTTCCTCAGCCCTGTGCTGAGGGGAGAGCGAATGGATGAGCACGTGTCTCCTCCGCCAGGAAGAACACAGGGCCCATTTCACTGGCAAGGAAACCACAGGCGCTTGGCCGAGAGGACGCCAGGGTGCGACAGGCCCGCGACCACAGGCTGCCACTGGGACGGGCTGCTCCAGCAGGGCCGGTGCGGGGCTAAGGCTGGCACTGGCTGGCCTCCCACAGCCTGCTGAAGCAGTGGAGGGGGCAGGACGCAGCCTGCTTGCCCGCTCGTTCTCCACCCCTGGCACAGGGGGAGTCTCCGGAGGACCCAGCCGCTCCCCACCTGCCCCCTAACATTCTCAGGGAGCCTAAGATGCTAAGGTCTTGGGAGGCCTGAGGCTGCATTGGGAAGGAGAAGAAGGAAATCAGGGTTTTCTCTTTTAAACCCCCTGGGGCTGTGTTCGCACGACAGGCGCCCAATGCCGAAGCGAGGCAGTGCCTGCTGCTGGGCCACCCAGCCCCGCGCCCTGCACAGCTCGCACAGTGCGTGAGCGTCCTCGGGGCTTTGCTTCCCTCCTTGAGAAAGCACGCCCCGACCTCTGCAGGCAGAACTGAGGGGCTCCCCCTGCTTCCATCGGAGCAGCAGGCCCCTCGGAACCCGCACACAATGGGCCCCGATCCTCCCCTGCTTTGGACGTAGCCCCTTTGCCATGCAACTTGGCATTTTTTCCCTCTAACATGGTGGAGTATACTTCCTCATTCCTTGACTTGGAGTCTGTGTATCTGGCTTTCTTTGTCCAATAAAATGAGGTGGCCATCCTGGGAGCCTGAGGCTCGGCGGTCTGGCATGTCTCCACGTGCTTTGCTGCCCTTCTGCCACCGCCATGAGAGTATGACAGGGCAGCCTGCTTGGCCGGGGCAGGGTGAGAGCTGCTGGGGACAGAGCTGCTGAATTCAGTCAGCCGCCCTCAGAGCCGACCGAGGCCAGTCAGGTCTCGAGCAGCCCAGCCGAACCAGTTGAGATGAGCTGATCTCTAGCCCACTCTCAGGGGCACGAGCTACATAAATATTTACTGTTGTATGTCAGTGAGATTTTAGGGGTTGGTGTTACATAGCATTTCTGTTGCAAAACCTACCTGATACATTTACTAAATGTCTATCCCAGTGGCTGGCATATAAAGTGTTAAATGAACTCATTTGATGCACAACTGTGCCTTGAAGATAGAATCACATCCCATTTTATCTTCCTAACAATCCTCTAAGATGATCAAGTCTAATTAGCTCACAATTACAGATAAAAACATCTGAGGTCCAGAAGAGTCACCCAGCTAGCGAAGATCACACAGGAAAAAATGACGAGGCCAGTATTTGGGTCCAGGTCCTGCTGCCTACAAGGCCGATGCTCTTTTCAGCACATGTGCACATGGCCAGAGCTGCCCACGGCCCAGGAAGGCCCTGCCTGGCCTTCTTGCGCGTCCTTATAAGCCGCGCTGCCCGGTCTCAGGGCCTCTCCCACTGCCTTCTTGTGGTCAACGTGAGCACCAGTGGAGGGGCTGCAATCCTCAGAGAGAAGCTGCAGAAGCGGTGGAGGAACTTGTTATTGCACTAGGCCCGATGCAAACGTAGGGTGGCTTGAGGTGGAGAGGAGGCAGAGAAGGTTTCACTTCCTTTCCTAATATTGTGCTGTCCATCCGCACCTCCTTAGAATCTGGAGGGACGACTGCAAGAATGGCAGAAAAGGCCAGGGTACAGGGCTTGTATTCCTGCGGGGACAGATGAGCCTGGCCCTACCCACGCTGCTGTGCCCAAGGGCTTCTGTCGCTGTCCCTCAAGCCCTAACTGGGGGAGAGGACCCCCTTCCACATCCTTCCTATGGGCCGCACCTCTTTCAAGTCAAAGATACTTTGTTAGGACGCACTTAGTAAATTTCTATGAACCTCGCTTCTCAAGCCCCTTTCTTCTCCCTGATTCTTCTGGTCAAAGTTCCCTGAGTTTTACATGAGCTCTGACCCCTGAGCTACCTCTCCCTCCCTAAGATTTTCCCCAGGATACACAATTAAAAGGCAAAGGTTGTGGTGGCAGGTCACCCTGTCCTTCTGCGGGCCCACCCTGGCCAGCGATCAGTCAGGTGCCCACATGCTCCAATGCCAAGAGCTGTCCTTGCTTCTGAGCCTGTTTTACCAAAGACAGGGCTCTCTTCCACTTTTTTTCATCCTTACTGAAGGACATTTTTTTTTTCATTGTTTTTAGAGAGAGAGGAAGGGAGAGAGAGAAACCCCCACTGTTTGCCTCCTGCACATGCCAGGAGCTGCATGTTCCTGGACTGGGGACTGAGGACTGAGGACTGAGGACTGAGGATCAAGCCCATCACTCCCTATGTGCCCTGACCGAGAATCAAACCCACAGTCTTCCAGTCACGGGGTGACGCTCCGACCAACTGAGCCACACTGGTCAGGGCTCTCTCCTATTTTAAAAACCCACCAGAGAATGTCCCACTCCAGGAAGGTACCCAGTTCCACTGCCATCTCCTAAACCTAATTCTCTTCCATTTCTTTACAACTTCAACTCATTATCCACCTGCCTCACTCATTCATTCATTCATTTGACAAGTACTCACTCATGGCCTTCATTTTGCCAGGCCAGTTTACAGTACAGTGTGGCAAAGGAATAACGGTCCTAGAGAATGACAAATAACATCCTGGTTAGAACTAGGAACCGTAAACCCACAAGGCTTCGGTTCTGATCCTAGTTCCTCTGCTCGTTAGCTGAGTGGCCCTGGGCTGCTTACTTAGGCTTTTTGGCCTCCGTTCCATCATCTCTGAGGTGGAGATGCTACCTCACAAAGTTGTTATGAACACCACATAAGCCGCCCGAGGCTGGCCCAGGACCCAGAAAGCCACGAGATTCCCGTCTCCGAGAAACTGTCCTTCCGCGAATGGGCCCAGCAAACGCACGAGACCTGCCCCACAAAGTGAGGATAGCAAATCTGAAGAGAATGTCAGGGAAACCGTTGCTCCCACCACCCACCCAGCGGGGAAAGGAAGCGCGAGGAGGGAGAATTTAGGTGAGGCCACAGAGAGGCGGGTCTGGGAGAGCTGCTGCTCAGGGCAGTGGCCTGGTGTGCCGGGGGCACGCTGGGCCAGGGTCAGAGGTCTCAGAGCCTGGTTTCACCCTGCGAAAGGTGTGGTGCTTGCCCTGGCACAGTATCCCCACACCTCCCCTCCTCAGCCTGGGCTTCAGTTTCCTTACTGAAAATCAAGGTGGCGGACCACGAAAGGCCTTTCCAACAGCAGCAGTCTTGGATTCTAAACTTGGGCAGTTCTCCGCTGCAGAAGCATTAGGAGCCTGGCCACAGGAGGCCACAGGCACCACCGACTGGCAGCTTGGTGACTCCACACAGCCGCCCCGCCTCGCTGTCCCCTCCAGCGGGTGGGCTGTCTGCAGCTCACAGCAGTAGAGATGCTTTTCCCTTGTAACTACTTCCCAGCACTTGCACGTGGACACACCTCCTTCTGAGCTGGGCCTGAGGAAGCCGGGCTCCGGGAGGCTGTGTGAGCTGGGGGCTGGCCCACAGAGAAGGGGTGTGGAGGCCAGAGGACATCGGGGAGGGCTCTGGCGGGCACTTACCGCAGGCCCAGGGAAGGGAACGTGGTCACAGTTCTCCTGCCAGGACTGGTTGAGGCTCTGGGCAAACTCTTGGAAGAAAGCATGCGACTGATTGAAAATGGAAAATCCCAGGACGTTGACACGATCGTCCACGAGGCTGTCCATCCTCTGGAGCGAGAACTCCTGGAAGGGCGGGGCAGCCAGAGACAGAGCAGAGTGAGGAAGGGGAGACAGGGCGTGGGCTTCGCTGGCTGGCACCTGTCTCGGGGGTCATTCCAGTTAAATCGACACTCACTGTCAGGTGCTCTGCTTGGCAATGAGAGTCCCAAGATAACTAAGAGTTGTTCCCCTGAGAGCACACAGTATTGGGAGAAGGGAGGGAGAGCAAGAGAAAGGAGCAGAATGATCTCTGAGGAAGGCATGTGCAGGACTCACTAGATGAAGAGAGGAAGGGAATGCTAATGAGCCTGGCTCAGGTGTGGCCATCTAGCTGTCGTGAAGGATGCACGGGCATTTTCTGGGTGAAAACCATGAATGGGCAAAGGCTATTCCAGACAGAAGCCACCATGGGCATAAAGGCACAGCGGGGAGAAGCCGTGTGGCTCCTTCAGCTAGTTGCCCGCAGGGAACTTTGATAGACGCACCACTTCTCAAAGTGCGGTCCACAGGACACCTGCCATCAGACTCACCTGGGGACCTTTCAAAACAGTGATGGTTGCTGTGCCCCGCCTACTACCCGCTGAGCCGGAGGCTCTGGGGCTGATGCCAGGAGCCTGCGTTTCCAGCAGGCCCCAGGCCTTACGCACCCCCCCGCAGTCTGGGGTTGACTGGGCGAGCACACAGCATGCGGGCGGTGGGGAATGGGGGGGATGGGGGGAATGAAAGCAGACAGGCCGGCCGGCCGAGCGCCGGGCAGGGGGCTGCACGCGGGCCTGTGTTTGACGGGACCTGAGGGGACTCTCAGCCGAGAAGACTCTCAGTCTGAAGCTCTGAGGATAGGGCTCACTTAGTATTATTTTTTTCATTCATGTAACAAATACTGAAGTGCTTATTGTGTGCCTGATGCAGGCATGAAAGATAGGAACGGGAAGCACAATTCCTGCTTCTGAGGAGCTTGCAGGAGACAGATTGTAAGGAGACAAATGAATCCACATAATTTCAGATTCCTGTGGTGGGTAAGAGTGGGGGCTGCTGCTTCAGTTGGAGGAGTCCCACCTGGGACAGTGACAGCTGGAAGCTCAGGGGCATTCTCCCAGAACCCAGGGTCCTCATCCAGTCACCTGGCCCCAGCCAGGTCTTACCTCAGCAAGCTAAGTCCTGCAGGTGTGGGTCCCACTGGAGCCAGTCAGTGCCATGGGGAGAAGGCTAGCCCTCCTCAGGCGTGGCTGAGCTCGGAGCCCTGGCCACGAAGGCCCTGTGGCCCTCTGCAGGGGCACCAGGCAGGAGGGTGTGGATTATCAGCTCACCAATCCCCACGCCCGGAACAATGCCTTCAGGTGCGGGTCAGACCGGTGGGTGACAGCCAGAGGGAAAGCGGGGTGGGGGGGATGGGTGGAGGTGGGCCGGGGGGGGGTGTGGGGGCAGAAAGGTACCTTGCTTGAGACGATGGGTGCACGACGCAGTGTGCAGGTGATTTTTTATTGAGTCGTGCACTTGAAACCTCTATGCTTTTGTGAGCCAATGTCAGCCCAATAAATTCAAGTAAAATGAAACAAAAGTGGGTCAGGTCACCATCGCACACTGCAATCACATTCATCACAGGCTCACTCTGAGTGCCTCACACACAGCTCTGCAACCGGAGGGCACACTAGCCCGTCCACCACTCAGCTGACAGGGCAGATGGTACGTGCCTTGGGTTTACTTCCTGGCTGTCTAGAAACACTGCTTTCCTTCAGGTGGTCTCCTTTTGGAAGACGTAGCTCCTGCTACGCAGCTCACCCCTATCTGCAGCCAGCCGCTGCCGAGGCTGCAGGATGCAGGCCCGAGGCCCCCTATTCAGAGTCCAGCCTCACCAGCTGTAGCTTGCAGACTGATGCTACAAAGGTTTCTTTGAAGACACCAACCCCTGACAGCATGAAGTCAGATGATGATGAAATCTATTTTGGATCCTGCCACGTTCCTATTAGGAGAACATGAACGTGCCAGAGAACAACTGATTCATAAGCCGATATCTGTCCTGTCTCTCTCACAGGGTGGTTGCCCGGTGCTGGGTGTCATCAACAGGCATGAGGAGGCAGATGGCTAACGAGAAGGGACACATCAGCAAGGGAGATGTGGCTGAGCACAAGCCAAGCCGCTGTCTAGCAACCAGGGGCCTTGCCGGCTTTGGCCCCTGCCAGGGGAGCTGGAAGATACCCTTTCTCCCTTGCTTCCTGTCCCATGGGCCCTCGCCCCACATGCACAGCTGGGGGAAGGCAGACTTCCAATAACGCTCTGATGTCTTGGTGTCTGCAGACTCACAGTGGCAGCTCGAGGCATGCAGTGGGTAAGTAAGGGCTTTGGTGTCCAAATCCGGGTTCTACCCTGTGCTGGGTATATGACCTTGAGGAAGTTCTTTAACCTCCCTTCGCCTCAGTGGGACCAGTGATGACTGCAGCCTCAGAGGTGCTTTCAAGTAAAGTGTAAGATGCACACGCAAGGCTTGGCATTGTATCTGGCCAATGGGAAGTGCTCAGCACATGAAAGTTGCTGAAATACCCCCGGGAGAATTCAGGCAGCTCCTGGCCCGTGGCGCCATTAGATTCATTTGTTTTAGAAATCTCAGTGAGGGGGGTGTTTCCTTTAAATATGTGTCCCAGGAACAGTGAGAACAAATGTTAACTGCAGACACTCAGAGACAGCCCTTCCGGAAGTCATCCCATCTGTCTTCTTGCCTTTAATTCCTACTTTCTTATCCATCAATTATATTCTATTTTCAAAGGCCCTCTTAAAATTAAAAGATCCAAAACCTTCCTTGATGATTCATTAGACAAGGTCTGGCACAAATGATGCCCGTTTTTATCACAAAATCATAAGCATGTAATTCTGGAACAACAATATCGCACTCAAGCACAGCATAGGACATTTTAGGTGAAGTGTTCAAATTGTTGTCCATCTCGTGCGAGACATTCACATACCCTAACGACCACACTCAAGCCAACCTTCCTTCTGCCAGACCCTGTATTTATACCTCACAAGAGCTTGTAAAAGAACAACAAAGGGGTAGTGTGTTTTGTTAATCCTAATTTCCCTCAGCATCCTCACCACTAGGAAACGCGTCTTCATGTCCAAACTTAGACTCTCCAGGGGAAACTGAATGCTGGTTTCTAAACGCACATGGGAAGCTGCTGACCACTGCCGGTTCCTGAACAGTAAGTCTTCTAAGCCAATATTTCCCAAAAAGTGATCCTCAGGACACTCGCTTTTCCAGAAGACATTAACAGAAATTTCATAAAGTTTCGTGTTCTAATAAAGTTAAAAAAATACTGTGCGAGACACCTGCCTTCTTCAGAGTCGCCACACGCACAGCATGTGAAGGCCGCCCCGGGGCAGCGGCGGAGCAGCCTGCTGAGCTGTGCGTGGTGCAGGAGCCGCCCAGCACGCCGGCGCACTCGCCTCGGCCCCGCCGTCTCGCCTGGGGCTCTTTGGAACATGCTTTGGGGACTGCTACTCTGAACAGAGTGAAACATGCGTTATCAATCCAAATTCAAATGATGGAGACATTTTGCTGAGAGAGATTTTTCATAAAATTAACACATTTCAGGACTGGAGGGGATCGCTGTCCAGCACGAGTCCTGCCTCAGCTGGCACCCCTGGCTCGCTCAGGCCCTCCGTGCGCCACAACCATGCTGCCTGGCCGATGTGACTCACCCACAATGACAGAAGGGGCAGGGAGCCCTGGGGAGAAGCAGGTTCCCATGGCAACCTTATTCTCTTGCTATGAAGGTGCTGGAAGGGGAATCCTGAGAGTCCCCACCCCTGATGGGAGTGACTTCCCTTGAGGCAACATCAGAGAAGAGAGGGTGAGGGACAGAGTGGATGGCTCTGAGATGCTGAGTGGCGGAGCAGGGGCCGAGGGCGAGGTACTCCAAGCATGCGTGGCTCTGCTGCCCTGAGTGCCCACCACATTTTCACCATGTGGTCTTTCTCTCCAAAGACCTGTGTGTTCCTGGAGAGCAGAGATGCACCTGCCTCACAGGGGGACCCCACACTGCAGCTGGCGCAGTGCCTGAGACCTGGGAGCTGCTCGGTGAATGTTTGCTGAGGGCTGCTGACTGAAGACATGTCCCCGCCCAGGGGTCTTCTCTGTGCCCAAGTCTGGCTGCCGATCACATAGTCTCACCCCTAGAGAAGGTGGAGGACGTGAGTAGAATTTGTACCAACCCCTGGAGTGTCCTCTAGAAGCTGCATAATTGTATTTGAGAAAAAAAAAATCCTGACAGCCTGTTTTCTTATCACTGGGTTCTTAGCTACTTGTCAAATGAGAAAACTCTTGCTAAATAAGTCACCATACAATGCTAATTCCTAGGTTTGTCTTGACAGAGTTGACATTCTAGGTCTTCCAACCACAAGTAATTACAACAAAGCAAAATAATAATAATAATAAATAATAATAATAATAATAATAAGAAGAAGAAGAATCATAATGGACTGGCCACCCACTGTGTGCCTGGCAGAACTAAGCACTTCACATGCATGATTCCAATCACCTGCAGCTGTCCTGTGGCCTGGGAGTTGTGTGGCCAAGATTTGCAGCTACAAAATGAACACTAGTGTTCGAGGTGAGTAAAGGGATTATCAAACATCAGCTAAGTCTCTGCATGACAAGGGTTTTAGTTGCAGAGGGGACTGGGCTTGGTGTGGGCTCCAGACTGAGCAACTGAACAATGATCTTGAGAACATGGGGGTACTGAGGTTTGCCCCAAACCATGTCTGTTCAGCATAAAGAACCCAGAGAAGGAGTCTGAGAAACACCAGGGTGCAGCAGGTGGGAAGCAATCAGAAAGAAATGCAGTGTCATTGAAGTGTTAAACTGCATGGAGAAGCAGGTAGGCAAATGCAGCTTTGTGACCTCCGCCGACTCCTGCTGTCCAGGAGCCTTAGCCACTCTAGGGCGAGCTCTCTGCCGCCACCATCCCGCCATTGTCTGAGCCACAGACGCTCCCTGCTGGCCTGTCCCGTGGCCTCTCTCTTGCTCACGGCTG